AATTTAAACGTAGTATAAGAGGAAACTCTTATGATAATGAAAAAAGAAACTTTGCATCCAACGGGTTTGGGTCCTGGTGGAGGCAAAGTTTATTTACTTCATTCTGATCAGATTTTTCTCCCCTGTTACGTTTACGTAATACATAAATTGTTTTAGGCTTATTATTTACGCGATTTATGCGACATGTTGCTCAGGGATTTTGCGTCAAAACTCATTAAGGGGTAATCTTGATTTTTTTTTCTGTCAACATTTCAAAACGCTACTAGTGCCAAACGGCTGTGCAAATTTCAACCAAACCTATTAAATATTTCAACAAATATCTCATTAATCACACTATCGCAAATAGGCCTATTGAAGTATTATTAATTCTTTATTAAAGCATTATTCGAGCACCTTCATTATTATTATTATTATTATTATTATTATTATTATTATTATTATTATTATTATTTTATGTATTATTTACCAACCATACTAACATTGAAAACATGAATTATGTGGATAAAATTGTCATAGAAAATAAAGATTATTTTTTAAAACAACAGAATAAAATAGATAACACCTTTATTTAAATAAAAAAAAAAAAAAAACAGGTTTTGCATAGACGCAAGTTGATTTAATATATGCTGATTCATCTCATTAATTAAACATTTTTATTCATTTCGAGCACTGTTATTATTATTATATTATTATTATTACTACTATTACTAATATTTTAAATTTTTGTTGTTTTATTTTTTGTTTTATGTTTTTTTTATAGGCTATGTATATATTTAATAATTAGAAATAATTATAATTTAATTGTAAAACATATATAATATAATGTTAACAATATTATAGGCTAGGCTAGACCTAACCAATTATTGATACCATAATCTATAGATAAAAACATCCATTTGATAATTAAACAGCAGCTTTTCGAGTGGCAGTGCCGATAGAAAATCGGAGCTTTTTTCGCACTGCGGCAATAATGCCGATAGAAAAAAAAACAGCTTTTTTCGCACTGTGGCAGTGCCGATAGAAAACAACAGCTTTTAGGCACTGCGGCAGTGCCGATAGAAAACAGCAGCTTTTTGGCACTGCGGCAGTGCCGATAAAAAACAGCAGCTTTTTTTCGCACTGTGGCAGTGCCGATAGCCTCAAGCCAGATACACATGCCTTTTAGCATGGACCTATTAATAAGAACATAGAGAAAATAGAACAGAATTGTTCTATTTTCTCTATGATAAGAAGGACATACAACGATTTTCAGCTAGCGTGACTAATTAGCCTTCAGTCAATCAGCGATAAGCGGTAATTGGAAACTTCAAAGCGTTTTCTTATCGCAGCCCGCTCTCGCGAGCGCCTTTGAATTAACTCATTTTTTCCGCCTATAGGACACACTCTATCGGTGAATATTGAACAAGTGGAGCAACAAATTTTACTGACGTCATTATTTGGGTCCATTTGAGAATGAATTTGACATATTAGGTGACCTTTAGTGTTAGCGTTTTGTGCCGGTGCGGTGGATCGAAGATTTTTCGTAGCTACAAGTAGAAAAAAACCGAATATGAATATGACTTTTTATTAAAAAGTTACTGAGATTCGAAGGAAGATTATTTAGTTTGTTTGTGATCGATTTATCTAGAAAAAATGAGAATTGGGTGCCATTTAAATGCATTTTTTAACCGTTTCTCCCGACTTCTCCACAAAACACATACGAACAACAGTTAGATAAATTACAAAACTTCATTGAAACATGGTTGTTTTATCTTTACAGTTATTTACAAAATTTTTATAGTGATTTTAGGTGATGGTGGTTCTATGATGATATCTTAATGTCGATCGTAGAAATGACACATCTGCCTGGTTATCGTGACTTTCATAGGGTTCCCATGGCCTAGGCTAGGCCGGCCTATCTGTAATCATGGACCTATTAATAATTATTATTATTTATTTTATTAATATCTTATTAATATGTCCATGCTTTTAGTAAGAGATAACGAGACAACAAAATTTTAAAGACATGGCGTGTAGAAGAAAGTATTTAAAAATAGTTCAGAATAAAACTTACAGGTACAGCCGCTATGTAAACCATACAGAATCTTCCAGCTAAACTGAATATATATAAAAAAAATTAAATTCTTCAAAATCTTATACATGAAATTATCAAGGTTTAGTTTTTTGTATTAGCAAGTTGTGGTATAGCCCGGAAGAATGTTATGATTGTGCCTATATACAATCCTTGCATATAGGCTACAGCATACTATAACAATACGTACAAGTTTTTAGCAAAAGAGTAAATATGATATATATAGTACATATAGGATTTATATGTTATAGTATGCTGTAGCCTATAATGCAACAATTGTTTATAGGCTAGGCACAATCATAACATTCTACCGGGCCATACCACAACTTGCTAATACAAAAAACTAAACCTT